CATACTTTATATATATATGCTGGAGCAAAGTTTCTCTCTCTTTCTATCCATCTCTCTTGTGCACCACACATTTCGTACGGCGCGCCCCGTGCCAAGGCGCATGCTTGGGTGGTCAGGGTTTTGAGAATAAGTTATGAATTTTCTTCCACAAACGTAAAATATTTTGAGATATTCATGACGACGTTAAACATAATTTATCAACATCGTAGCGTATTTTTTTTTCTTTTTATGAACTTTTGTTATTTTATTTTAACTTACATTAATTTTGAATAATACTTCATGAACTTTATTTTCACTTTATTTTTTGACTGTTGCGATAGTTATGCTATATGATGAAAAACTTTTACCGAAAATTTTTTCGATGAGAAGCAAATATTATTGGGAGATTTATAATCGTGTGGTTAGCTCTTTCTTTAAAAAGCTCGAATCGCATAGGTAGATTTAAAATAAGACCAATTTGAGAGTTATTAATCTTCAGTAAGCAAGCGCGCATATTAATTCATCGCATTCATTGTAAAAGCCGTTAAAAGCTTGTTAAAATATACCTTCAGTTGACGTTGAGATGATTTGATTGCAAAACGAGCCCTTCGTATGGCCCTTGATGAAAGCTCCTTGCGCAGTGCAAGCTCGAAGATGTTCCATATGGCAGGAGAAGATGCGACGGCTTAGAGCACGCGCGACCTGCTCGTATACGCGACGCGCAGACTCATATTATATAGCGGTACGCGTTGTCGTTGCGCACTTGAATTATATAAAGCTCGGCCGAGGCGTCGGAGCGAACGCGTCACAACTGCATAACAGAGCTTTGTCTCGGCCCCGCGTAGATTCACCGTCTCATCCTTGCGCCAACCACGCCGAGATGCTACAAGCGTCGCTGCGCTGCAGTACCTTACTCTCGCACACCAGGAGAGAAATTGTGCATAATAGCAAAGCCGTCGTCGGAGCTGCTATTCGCCCCGTCGACGTTTAATTGCGTTCAATTGTCTTTCAGGGTGGCAGTGCAGCAGTAGCACAGAAGCTCATTATGTTTCTCCGTGGTCTCTCTCTCACGCGCGCGCACACGCGCGCACACACACACACTCACACATATATATATCAACTATACGCGGGCTTTTCACCGGCTCTCGTGTGTCGCATTAAAGATCTTTTTTCCAGCCCTACCCTTCACAAGCTCCTCTGCACTTGAGTGTGATGATGATTAATAATAAAACTAGAGTGGGCTTTCAATTAAAAAGAGCACCAACCGAGATAGTTAGCGCGAGTGAGAGAGACCCAAAAGTAATTAGTCAAATCGGATGCGTGGAAGGTACTTTGACTCTTGAGCCTGCAACTTTCGAGTACTTTTTAAGAGTATGTCAGCTGAACTTGAATAAATTTCGAATTTTCAAACTTATCAGCTTGAGTAACTATATGCTCCCATTACCTATTTTAAAACGAGTAGTGCGCTGAAGAAATACCAGCAATTTTTGCGATCGTGAAATCGCAAAAATAATCGTGTAAATTATTATCAATCACAATAAATTGAATACATGAGATATAATATGGGGCAAATACACGATAATATTATCTTGAAAAGTCCATTTGCAAAATGAGATGGAGAATGATAAATTAAAGACCAAAAGTTTCTCTCATTCACGTCGAACAATCTTCGCGCAGTTAGTACCCTTGCCTAGCACTCGCAGACTGGCTTCTTCAAATTAATCACCTCGTTACGAGTTTATATATATACATATACATTCACACGCAGGGATGCAGTATATATCTCCAAGTATTTAACCCAGCAAATCTCTTCTTTCTCTCGCTTTTGAACATCTTCTCTCATTCTCTTGCGTCTCGACTTAATCTCCTCTCTTTCTTAGCAGCCGCTGCCCGCTGCGTACACCACTTGGAACAACAACACGCTAAGCGTTGCCTGAGAAATTTTTCGTTGTATTTCAAAAGTTTTGACCCAAGCCACAGAAAGATTAGACATCCGCGTGCCAAAAGTAGTTATAACTAAGCACGTATATATACAAACGCAGCTGTAGGTATATAATAATTATATGTCTCTCAGACCGTGGCCTAAATGAGCCGCGACGAGAGGGTAGTTATCATTTGGCACGCATGCAGCTAATTTTGCGCTAACTAGCCCGACTCTAGTTTCCTCGTGTATGTGTGTATGAAGCAGCGAAGAGGGGTTAACGCACTCAAAACTTATTTTATCAACTAGATTGACGCACTTTATTTCACGCCTAGTCATGGCTACGTGAGCATGTATACTTATGTGGCCATGTTCACAGCTACGAGCTAATTTGCAGATACGCAGAAATGGTTGTTGACTCGATGATTTTTGGTAATTTTTTAGGTGGTTTGGCAACGCGCACTGATGCCGTTGATGCCGGTTGTCCCTTCATATTCCAGTAACGTAATTTTTTTGCACCATCATGCATCTACAGAACCTAAAAAAAGACTCATTAAGATTATTTGCAAAGTTTCATGGTGCATGTAATGTTTCGAAGGTTCCGATAAGGACAAAGTTACAAATAAAAGCAGAAAACGAGTGGAAAGAGAAAAAAGGGTAATAACACGTTTCCCAACTGCAATACAGACGAGTCGTTGGTGGTGGCCAAAAAGCCGTCCCCCTCTTCCCCTTGCACACTCAGTTAAATAGCATAAAAGCTCTAGCGCAGAAAACATAGGAATGCACGGGACACGGGACACGACAACAATTGTTTCAACTAAATAAAACTGACTGGCTTGCTCGCATTTCGTTGACGTTTACGTTCGGGAAATGCACGCGTGCGTGTACGCTTGTGTATACGCCTGCGTATTTGTGCGATCCCTTATCGCTCGGCAGGCAGGCGGGCCAGGTATATACGTACGAGTGTGAGTGAGTGTGGCTGCGGTATGGAATACACGCACGCGTCCAAAGAAACTTTTCCTTGTCCTGCCGAGAAAATACAAGGGCAACTATGAGCAAAAAATACGTCTGTACTCGAATAAAAGTAGAGAAAAAAATGTGTTTTTAGCAAGAGTAATATAGATGAATTTGTCTTTGATGGTGCGACTGATGGAAGTTCATGAAACTAATGAAATGCCTACGTAATTCAAATTACGCTGCATTTTTACAAATTCAATAGATTTATAAAACTCGGTAACATTGTTACCGAGTTTGCGAGAAAATCGAATCAGCAGCAATGAGTGCAATACCTCCAGAAGCTTAACGACTGTGAGTGCGAATAGGCCAATTACAAAAGCCCAACGAAGCACGACAGAGCTATACACGCATCGGGTTAAAGCTCATCTAGTGATACAGTGCACCGACATTTACCGAAATTATGAGATGTAACGTAGGAAGATCTTCTAACGTAGGAGGAAAAGCCATTTATTGAGATTTCAGCTCCCGAACTTTATTTACTGTACTCACGGCGTGTTAATTGCATTTCTCTTCAAGTTTTAATAATATATAACACGGCAGGTATTAGATTTGAGATGAGACGTTGTTACGATCGATAAAAGCTCGAGCCACCAGCTGCGATGGCGTGTAGAGCCAGGCGTTACATAGCCGAGACGAATACGCCTAGATCATCGTAACCGTTTAATGCGTTGCTTGGTGCTCGTATGTAGTGGTGCCCCTCGCGCCCAAGACGCTCTATTACCTCGCTAGCGAGGTTTTAGAAGATTAGACGCGGGATAGCCCTTAGACTCGCTTATCTCGGCATTTGCTGGTGCCAAGTCATTACCATACCTATCCAACGCACCTACAAACGCCCACGTATTCTCAACTATAGAAGCTCGCACTCGAGTAGTTTTGCGCCTACGAATTGTATTACGTATATCTCGCGTACGCAAAGATTAAGGGATAGGCCGCTTTACAATTGCACGCATGCAGTTATTTATTTCTAATTGATGCAGACGACACAAAAGCTCGTTTTACCCGCAAGCTTTCCAAGTATAATCGTCTAAATCTGCAAAGGAAGATCGATGAGTCCTACGCTCGGAAGTGTGCGTACACATGTTAAAAAGTCATGGGCCATTCGCCTTACTGCATTAGCTTTTTTTTCATCGCTCACCTTGATTCAACTATGGGTTTTCCAAAACTATGCAAAATCAAACTCCCATCCGAAGAGCGAATCAAGTTTCTTGCTTACTGGGCCATCTCAACTTTGTCAAGACATCAGGCGTGAAAAAAACTCATCTCCGGACGTTTACGCTCACAGGTGTGTATATCCACCTTCGCACATGTATATAGACCAGTCAGACTCCAATAGATACATACATACAGATATCCGAATGACATTTACTTTGGAATTTTTTCAAAGCTTGCAAATATACGCGTACTCGCAAGTGAGCGTGAACTTTTCCTGCAGCTCTTCTTTTTGTTTCTCTCTTCTTCTTTCTTTCTGGCATATATACATACATCCTCAAACTCAAAAGCGTTGCAACGCAAAGAACTCCGAAGGTAGGCTCCTACCGGTCCTTTTATACTTCCCCAAGCTACTACAAAACTTTTCTCTCATCTTCTTTCAAAGAAAAAGAAGGAGACAGAAACAGAGACAGAGAGAAAAACGTAGAAGCAGAAAAAAAGTTTCTTCTCCTGGACTAATTTCTTCGCTTATGCAACTTTGATTCTTAAACTCGGGCTCATTTGCTGCCAAGCTGCTAAGGGAGAGGCGAATCTTCTTTATATTCAATGAGCGAATTTAGAGGTGAGTTTATGTGCGGTCGAGTTTTCTTTTTTTATCGTCGTTACTACTTCAGCTTCTTGTCCAGTTTGCTAAGGTAGGCGGGCACAGTTTTATTTTCTTGCCGAGTCTTTCTTTTAATTTAATAAATTTGAATTTATGGTGCAATTTTGTTAAAAAAAACTCTCCACCTAATTTATACAGAACATTAGATGCAGTAGAAATTGAGGCAAATTAATTGCTCTCAAAACTCGAATAAATTTAAAACTGAAATTAAAAAACATTTTTGAAATGACGTACAAAAAGTTTGCCAATGAAATAAGAAACAGGTGATAATTATCATTATTTTCACGAAATAAATGTATACATATTTTATTTACTTAAGTACACAAACTTTGAAGAGATATTCAAGCGTTGTATGCGTGACATTGTAAGTCCAAATGCAATTTTCTACATCAGTAAAAGATTGACTTACACGGGCTTAGGGAAACATTGCGATACATTAATACTTATTAGCAACTATTTTACAATAATAACAAAGATTACAGATTTTTTCGAGTCTATTTACAATAAAAAGCTCACGCATTATTAGCGTTGCAGCAAATTTTGAATAAATATTAATGAGTTTATCGTTTTGATTTTGTATTAACAGTAAATACTTTTAATTTATATCGATTACATCAAACATAAGCACAAAAGAATACATAAATTTATATAGGGACTTTATTCGCGTGTAACCATGATCGTTTGACAATCACCACTGCTAAAAAAACCACTGCCCTACATTACATGAACAATAAAATCTGTACAACCTTTATTGAAAGGTAGTTACGATTAAAAGGTTATTATCACAACGCGCTAGAACATAAAATTAATTTTTTTATACGAATAATACAACGAATGAGGCACTTTCACGCGTTTTACGCGGCTTACTTGCATATATTTACAAAACTGCAATTAATGATCTCTCGATATGTTGGATAACATGTCGGGAAGAGTAAAAATTGAAACGTAAGAAAATTGTCAGCAGGAATAAAACAGTTCAGTTTTTAAATGTTTAAATTAATCGATCCTCATTATTAGTGAACGTGATGCAGAGTAGTTGTTCATTCTGCGACGCGTCGGAGTTGTCGTTGTTGCTGGAGTTTAGATTGGACGACTTCGTACGGTGACGTCTTCGCGGTGGAGTTGGCACGATCAGAGCTGATGGCTCCTCTATCAAACTTATGCGTTGAAGACGGCTTGGCTTCTCCGGCGCCTCGTCTGCTATTATCGATGCCTTGTTGTTCTCTTCGATTTCGAGCAGAAGGACGAAAAAAAAAATCATTATTGCGAATGCACTATTGGTAATATCGGTAGTATATAAATACAAAATGTTTCTTATTTTCTTAATTAAAGATTTTGTTCTTGGGACATCTTACATCATGAAAAATAAAGTGAAATATTATTTAGGATAAAAAAATTTCCACCACAAATATATTTAACTACGCTAGTCGATAGTCGAAAAATTAGAAAAACTATATAATACTTTTTGCTCGAAACGTAAAATCACTTACTGATTATAGACTCGACTGTATTGACGATATCGTTGGCGTAAAGCTCATGTAGGGGCTTGTTCCAAAGTTGCTGCTCGGTCATAGAATTTTGGGCATCAATTCTCGCCCTATGTTTCTTTTCCTGCTGGTCGAGAGCAGCTTCCAGTTGATCCAGACACTTGTCATCGTCCATCTCATCCTCCCTTTCGTCGTCGTCCTTTCCTTCGGTCTTTCCATTCGCTGACGAAGCTTCCGCCTGAACAAACGCCACGATGGAATTCAAAAAAGAGAGAAAGACTTGTTGAATACACAGGCACGTAGGAAACTCGAGAATAGAGTGAGATAGAAAGAAAATGTCACAGTAGTCTTTAATGAGAATCAGCGAGTGGCGAGGAGAAAAAACGATTTTATGGATTCGGATGGTAATTTAATTATTCTGGCTTCTTTGTGCTAGTTCTGAAGCCACTGCTTCTGAGCAAAAGTGTGTATGAGAGAGAGAGAGAGACTATTATGAAAGTCAAGGAAGTTTTCACTTTTCAAAATCGCGCCAGTCTTGCAGTCGCAGGAAGAAGCACCACGTTAAAGAGGCTGCAAACTCTCGACTTTTGGTAGTTGTCTTCGAGCTGCTATAATTTGACCGCACTTTACACTCACAAAATATGAATTATTAATGTGGAATCAAAGTGAAAAGCTTAACGACACTTTAGCCTTATAGTGATCGCGCAAAAAGTGTCAATATTGACATGAGACTTTTTGATGGTGGCTTGCTTGTAAATTTTATGTTGCGATCGAAGTCAAAACTTACAAATTTCTTTAGGATTTCTTGGCTGTTTTTTTCATCGTACTTGGCTTCAATCGTTGCATGCAAATCGTCCACACGCTCGACCTTATTTTCGTAAATTTCTCTCTGATTCTTATCAGGCAGCTTTGAAAAAAAGTCTTCGAAATTTTGCTTTTCGGTTATTGAGTGTTCGACATTGTTCTGGCACTTTTCCTCGGCAGCGCTTAATGAAACTTCGCTCTTGCTTCTGACTTGTTCCGGAATTTCCAATTGCTCGATTTCGTCCCCGTCGACTTTGAGCATTGCTTGAGGTAACGATTCTTCGGATATAGTTCGTTGAATCCCCGAAGGACATTCGCTCAGAAGCGATGATTCTATTTTATGTGGTGTCTCTACACCGACTATATCTGTTGATTACGAGGCATAATTGTTTATCCAATTAATAAACATTTGACATTTGTATACATAATATTAAGATGAGGCTTACCTTGAGGTATATCAGTGTGCTTCGTAGGCTCGTCCGAGGTGTCGACGAGCACGCGGCTTTCGCTCTTCGATGCGTAACCTGCATCTTGGGACGGTCGTTCGACCTCTAGAGGTAACTTTTCGGTAAGCAACGACTTTTGTGATCTGCAAAAACGCGGGTAAACAATTAAAACCTGCAAATCAAGCCGTCTTCGTGCTGGCTTCAGTAATATGAAATGCGACAGTAAACCTATTTTCCTCGCTGCCAAAATCGGCGTCGAGACTGCGCTCAGATTTGACGGGCACATCTTGGACCATCGATAAGTCGTGAGTATCAGTCGGCCCACGTTTTCTCGGCGAGTCGACAGGTGTTGAGGTTTCTGGCTCGTTGTAAAATTCCAAAAAAGAATCGACGTTGGCCGAATCGATGCTCAAATCTGCTTTATCCACGCTGGATTGCTCGAGATCAGACGTCTTGCTCTTTTTTCTATCTCCGTTTTCCTCGTCCTCTCGCTCGGCTGGCGGAACAGTCGGAGCAGCGACTAAGCCCGGTGTCGTTCGAGCGAAGAATAGCCTCTCGGGGGCCTATACGCGAACATATACAGACACACCAGATGGGAATATAAGGAATGAAAAGCAGATTTAAATTTCGCAGGTATAAAACTTTTTCATTGATCCGAAACCACTATAGGCGGCTATTGAGAATATAATACATATATTCGCGTGGCACGTGAAACTTTTTATCGAAGCCTTTTCTCCAAGTATTACTGCTCTCGAGCTGGTACGCTCAAGAGCTCATAGAGCATATATAGCTATGGACATAACGCCTCGTCTATATCTCGATTCTCGACTCGGCAATATTGGCTTTTGCTTTATCTTAGGTGAACTTGTACAATATTTTTCCTTCAAGCGCTATCGGGTCAAATAAAACAGAAGACTCGTGTATATATAGCTGAGCTCTCAAGAGAGAGAGGCAAAGAAATACGACGTGCGACCAACACGCGAGCTTCATCGATCTATACCCGTAATCAGCTAAATAATAAATCGATCAATGCTAGTACCTTTTGCGGACCGAGAGACACGTCGCGCGGCAACGAGCTCGTTTTGACGTGTCTCGGAGGTCGTTTGGCCGCCACCGCCTCCTCGTCGTTCTCCTGCTGCTGCTGCTGCTTATGTGGTTGCTCTTGCTGTTGCTGCTGCTCATACTGCTCGAGTGATAAATCAGTCACGTTGGGTAAGCTAGTTGCTGTAAAGCTACGACTAGTTGATTTTGAACGCTGCTCGTTGCGCAACATCTTTTCCAAAATCGACGCTTCCGACGCTGTGGCATTTTCATTCAGCTCCCTCTCCAGCTACAACATTTATTTTACAAATTAATTAAATTCAACTGATTATTATTTCAAGTTGCTATAGGGATTTGCGATGGCGCGCTCACTCACCGCTACGAACTCTTCGTCGGATTCGTTAGCCAATGTAGAGTTCTGCAGGCCGCTTGTACCATCGCCGCTCGATCTGCTCCTGTCGGTCAGCTGACTATAAAGTGGCTCGGGCTCCTCGTCCGGTTTCGGTGGCAACGGACGACGATCCCTGTGACGTCTTCTACGAGGCGGTGGAACCGGCGCGCCGTCCGATATAATGCTCGTATACGTTCCATTACTGCTGCCGTTCAACCCTGTAAATAATTCAATGAGATCCGTCAATAAGACGATGCATCAATTCAATGCAGGCAAGTGATGTATACACGCACGAGCCTGTGCGCTCGAGAACATTATTTCCGTTACATTTGACGCGCATCATTATTTTTGCTGGTTTATACAGCGCTTATACATGCGTACAAGTGCGTGCAAAGGCCGTACATATAAACATCCATTGAGTCGTGCGGCTTGACAGATTGGACAGCTTATAGGGCGAGAGAGAGAGATTAGGATGATTCTGTTTGATAAATGGACTCGGAACACGAAGCTCCGGACGTAGCTTTCCACGTGATGTACCTCCTGATCCAATGGCTACGCGAATGCATACATCGCACATACGAACGCGTTCTCATATTGTTTGCGCGTGCCAAACGCGAGTAGCAGCAAAATAGAAAGTCAAAAAAATGCTACAATGTGTGCGCTGTACTGACCATTGGACTTGTTAAAGTCGTAGCAGGCGCTACGCTGCTGCTTGGCGCTGTGCACCTTCAGAATGACGCTGGATCTGGGCTCGCACGGAACCTCGAGATTCACGTCCACCCACTCGCTCGGATGGAAGGGCCTGTCGACCGAGTCGATGCTGTGACCTCTCAGAAGGAAAGAGGAATGTGGCGGCGAGCTTGAATAATCCATCTCCGAGCTGAAACAAACGGATGGAAAGTGAAAATAAAAAAAAAGGTAACATTTATTCTTCAGTAAGACGAAATAAAACCGCAGCGGCCAATTCATTGGCAAAGATCTTCCTCATAAATAGTAGATTGCTTACTTCGGGATCAACGAAAAACTAGAAAGCCTCGGAGCACGTGTAATTATAAATGCTAATAAAGAAATTTTTCACGAATAAACCCTGTGAAAAAAAAATTTCGAATAATATTGATAAAAACATTTTTTTACACGATGTAACTTTTAAAGTAATCAATGAGTCTTTACGTTTTTGGTCTTAAATTAAAACTTAACATCTCAACTTTCAAACTCACTGCTCGAGTATGTTAGAAACATACTTTATTCCTTGAAAAAATCAGGAAAAATAAGATGAAAAAACAATGTTTCAAAAAAAAAGAAGCCAAGTATATAAAACATGCTTTCCCAAAATCTTGATTTTGTCCCACTAAAGAATTAAGGAATGTACGTATGTGGGTGCACGCGGCAGCTTCGTCCTACCCCTTGTATTAGAGGTATTAGAGGGGGTAATTAATAGTCGACGTCCGACACGCTCGTAAGTAAACGCTTTTATTTAGACAATATTATATAGAGTCAAGACAACTTGTTCGAGCTGTATGTATTATATCTATTATTTTTATTTATATATTATTATAAAAACAATTTCTGCTCTGATCAACTTGTTTAGACCATACGAGTTTTTCAATTCATTAGAATTTTCCGGAACTGTTTCGGAAAAAAAGTGCAACAGCTTTTTCACTAGAAATTTTCCAAGATTTTCGAGAAAAAAATACTACAAAAGAATCGGATTGATCATTTTGGGAATTTGCTACTATAGAAGAAAACACAAAAGGCAAAATCTAATCGAGATAGATCCAAAATTTCATCGCTAAAAAACAATAAGTTTTTCTTGCGAGCAGAAAAAAATTTTTTTGAAACCCTCAGTTTCAATTTCACAGAGAATCGGCCACTTATTATACCTATTTTCTTTCGCTAAAGCGACAAGTGAATAGTCCAAGCTTGAACCAAAATGTACGTGTCCTTCGTTATACACTGAGCGTGCTAAGGAGTTTAATTAGTCGCTGCCTATATAATTATGCTACAACTGTAGACGTGTGATTATTGCAGCTTTAGCCAACAATGATTGTTTTACTGCACACTTAAAAGCACTCTCGGTTGCTTATCCATCGGTAATTCGAGGATCGATGAGCAGCTAACGGCTCTGATTTTCTTTATTCTCGCTATCTACGTTGTTTTTTAGCGGCTCGTTTTCTGACGAACGCGTCTCAATGAATATAATGGATCAATTTCATCGTCGAAATAATCTATCATTAGTAATTCTTTTTCTTATGTGCGATGATATTTGTATTTTGTATCGATATGCTCAGCCTAGAAAAAATCCATCTTATAAAGTGTTCATTGCTGAAAGTCACGTGCTGTATACTGTCCCGAAGAGCTAAAAAAAGCTATTGTTTCAACGTTGCCTCGTGGTATTGTCTAGAGCGCCCGCGCGTTATATATTTTTAATCAAGTCCATGGAACGAATAATTTGAATTCGTGATCTCGATTTCCAGAGTGCGGATACATCATAAATTTGCCTATAAAGTCGAAAAACGATCCATTGTTCTCGATAAATTTCCACGGGTGCGCACAAGCGGCTTGGTTCGGGTTTGACTCTATTCTACTCCGTCAGTGCATGCACACCGACGTTCATATAGATTATCGCAGCAAGTACGTTATACGCAGCAACATAATGGCATCAGCCTGCTCTAAAAGCGTGACTTTATACAACGTAACTTTTTTTTTATTTATAAATATCGCCGCGTGAATTACGAGCTCGCGATGACGCTCTCTCCATCCGCGAAATAATATAACAACGATGCGTTGAATTTTGGGTCGCGAGGCGCGCGTGAAAATGCGCTACGAGCTTCGTGCACGGAGGAAAATGAACGAACAACCCGATAAACAACGTTTTACCCACATACATCGTCGCGAGAGAATCGATTATGGCGAACGAGTTTTACTCGCGCGCCCATACTTTTTCTACGTTTCTCTAGTTGCATTGCTAGCAACTAGATAACTAGATCAAATTTCTTGCAACCATTTGCGGCGAGCCATGTGCTACCGCAGTAACATCGGCAACAAAAAAACAACCAAATGCCAATCAACTTTCCAACGGATTCCTGCATGTGCCCACAATGAGCTCGTGTTTAAACGATCAAAGTCAAAGAAACTAATGCGTATGCCATAGGTAAAGGCATACTTGCAGCTCGCGTATCTGCTCGAGTATCGATCCGCGAGAGCGCAGCGAGGAGCGTAAAAAAGCCGATAAATGTGGGTCGTACAAAAAAAACCGGACCTCTCGATTTTCTACGAGGAATCTCGTGCGACAACTTGGACGGCGACGGTGCGCAATCACCGGACGTTTCACTGCACAGGCTTGGTTAAATATATCCTTGCTGCAGCTGGGCTCGATAACATTTTTCACCCTAATGTATGCATCGTGTCAATTTGTCGATGAGTCATTGCATCATTTTTACGAGTACTTATTAACATTAAACGATATTTGTCTTGCACCTGCGTAAAAGCTCGAAGCTTTGTCATGCTTTGGTTTGCTCATTAACACACTTATAATATACGAAATGCACTTGGACGAGTGCTCCAGGCTAATCTGTCGTTTTACCATGCTCTCTCTCGCTCTCTCATTCTATGTGCACGTGGACGCTTGTTATCGTTAATTAAAACGCCTGTAACTGACGCGTACATCCAATATACATATATAATATTCACACGCACACACAATCACAGGCAGACTGTTATGTTTTCCAATATCACGGCCTGATAAAGTATACGTATACATGTACGTAACGCGAGCGAGGGCAATCTCCAACACGTATAAGCAGTATTCACGCGAAAGGTTCCCCGCACGCGGTAATGGGCCATTGGCCAGAGACGTATATACATTCACCCACACAGACGTATACGCGCGCTATTTATCGTAAGCACGCCTGTAGCTGGACGTTACATTCAATCGCAGCTGCATTATGTATACACATAATATCTACTTCACATGCAACTACCCCTTATAGCACGTGTGTTCGTAATTTTTCTTCTTCCAAATCCTTTTCCACTTTTTTACTTCGAGGCTTGAGCCGTAATTTGTCTCCAATAGCCACGCATTTTTTTGAACTATAAATGAAAAAATTAAAGCTTATATCAAAGATGATTGAACGTACCTGGAAACCCTCTGAGTTGCTCCGAGAACCGAACCTTCTTCCTTGAGGCTGGGGTATATCTGCAAGATATTAAAGTTTCATTTATTATTAATTCAGTCAATGCATTTTCATAAATGTATCAAACGAAACAATCGCTCTTGAGCTTGTGTTATGCAATAATACAATATAACATTAAGAATATTTATTTTTCTTGAAAGTGCCAATCGTAAAAGTGATTTACTCGTGCAAGCTATGCGTAAATTTATGTGTTATTCGTTACTAGTAAAGGTGCGCGAGAGCTGCAAGTTGCATAGAAGCAGCTCAGACTGTACAGATGCGTGCGCAACACATAATAAAGACGTTTCCTTATAATAAACAGTAATCTTCATTTTTACGCACAGCCTCGTATAATTGAACAGGCATGTCGCGAAGATCCTATACCATATAATAAGACGTTAATGTTCGTGCGCAGTGGTCGCAAATATGAAAAGTATCAACGACCCTTTGCCTTTTTTTATTACTTTCCTCACTTTTTGAGTGTCGTACCGACGATCGATCGTTGTAGCGTTGCTCGAAAGAACGCATTTCTCATGTACGTACGAGTGTCTGCAAAAGAAGAAGAAAGCATTCGACGTGCATAACGATTAATAACTAGGTAGCAGCAAACAGTTTTGCGGTGCCTCGCTCATTCACACCCAGCCGAGGGAGACAAAGAAAGAGAGAGTCAGAATCCACTATACCTATAATAAAGCAACGTTCTCGCGAGACGGTGCAGCATCCGTGTAGGAATAGCTACTGCACACAGGGCGCGACGAGCGCTAACGAAACAAGCTAACTGCATTATATCTCGCAGACGCTCTTCTCTCCTTGCTCGCTTTTATCGCCTAAAGAGTCTCTCGAAAATTGCTTCGCTCTCCGTACGCCAGCAGTTTCGCCTACCTCGACTCTCGTTCAGCTACCGGCTATACATATATTCATGTCCGCGCACGTATATGACGAGGCGACGATGATTATATTCTTTTTTTTCTCTCCTTTTTTTTCGTCAAATTTATTGGCCTGACCTCGTACTTTTTTACTCCAATTTCTTATTATGCAGTACGCGCAGTTCGCGGAGTCGAGTACAGCTCGGCGATCTATCGCATAATTACTCAACGCCGCTACCCTATCCATTATTTAGACTTTTTTTATCGCTTCTTTCCCTTTCATGACACTTTCACTTTGCTCTTTTTACTTCCCCCCTTCTCTTCACTTTGCTGTACTCGTCTGGTCACACTACATCGAATTGATTTGTAAACAGCGATCTTATAACCGATTTACGATATCATTCTCGCTACGCGAGTAGCTTGATCGTGATCACAAGACACTGTCAGGTGAATTTACACGCTACTCGTAGCATAAAATAAAAACAGTTTTTAAGTATGTATAAATCAATTTCATCTGTAGCTTCCTTCTACAGCAAGCTGCATGCTACAAATGAAAAAAGCAAAGAAAGCTGAGCTCTTTTAGTAATAAACTAGTACGTTATCAACAAAAAACCGATGTCAATTCATTATTTCATACCCCATCTAATAAAAAGTGGGGTGCAAAGAGTAAATTGCATTATTCTGAGTACATACCAAACTCTATGAAAAAGCAAAAGTATAACAACTTTTTATTTTGAGCGTAACTTTCATATTATTCAGTAAATCTCTACGTTTTTGGTGTCGAATTAATGCTTTACTGCTCTGTTTATATAATAACTAGCGACCCCGTCGTGGCTTCGCCCACGTTCAATTTTTTCAACAAATTCGACTGCCTAAAAGATCTTAAACAGGCCACGTCAAATGCTTAGTAGGAAATGTAAAAGTTGAGTCCACACACTTGTAAAACTTGAATAGCGTAATAACACATGTACACATCAAATACAATGTATTCCGATTCACCGCGTGTAAAAAAAACAACTGCTTTCGGTCTTTTTTATAACCATTAATCGGGCAAGGGGCGAGCGAGCGCGCAAAGTGGTAAAATACGAAAAAAATTCTGAACTCAAAAATAAATAAGCAAATAATGGTTTGAATATGATAGAAACCTGCGCAGTGGTATAATAAATACGTGGTAGAAATTTCAAGCCGATTGGACAAATAGTTTTTGAGATCATAAAGGACAAACAGACACCAACTTCGCTTTATATATATAGATAACC